CTTACTATTGTGTATAAAGAATCTAATACGCATAAGGGAGAGTCAGGTATTATAGTACATTTACATTTTTGCGATACACCGATTAGAATTTAACAATTTTAGTATATTCGTTTTACTGAATGATACAATTCTGACCATGAGTTGAGGAAAAGTTAGTATTGTAGTATAGTTATTAGCTATTTTCCCTTTTTCCTTTTAAACAATTTCTAAGATTTTTTTTTTGTCTGTCAATAGAATTAAATCAAATATTAGTTTATTTGAATAAATTTTAGGAATAAATATACTTTTTATAAAGACTTACTATTAGCATTCTAAGGTGTACCATAATATCCAATCTTTCCTTATTATTATTCATGATTATTGTATTAAAATTGGAATTATCATTATTCTGGACCCAATATTATGAATGAAACTTCATTTTTTCTAATACAAATCGCAAGATTGAATTTGGTTAGGGTTAATCTAATTTTTAACCACTCTATCAAATTATGCTTGCCGTTGCTTGAAATTTATAATTGAGTCAGGCTTAACTTAGAGTGATGCTAGAATATGTTGTTCCATTGACAACCCCTCTAGCAGCCCAAAGTATTTATTATTAAAACCTAATTGTTAAAAATTTAATAAATTTGATAAATTTATTTTTAAAAATTTATTCTTTGTAGATTAATGATATTGAAGTAAGAATGTTTGGAGAATATTACGAATGTGACTGGTGGCATGAAACAGAAAAAAAACTCCTTCCATTGAATTGCTTGTTATCAATTATTTTATATATGATGCAACTACTTTTGATAGCCTTGGTAAAACTTCAGGACATCCAGTTTTTTTAACTCTTGGAAATATTTCAACTTGGCTTCAAAATTCTGCAGATTCAAAAGTTCTTTTGGGATTTTTACCAAAGGTTCAAGGTACCATGATTAAAACTACTAATGCCTTTCGAATTTTTCAATATAAGACATATCAAAAGTGCTTGAAAACTATGCTTGATCCTTTGCTAAAAAGACCAGATAAATTATATTTTGGTATTCAAGAGTGGGTAGTAAGATTCGCAGCATGTATTTCAGTCTTTATTGCGTACATACTCAAAGTTGATGAAATAACTGCGACATATAAGACAGCCAATAGTAAAATGCCATGTTACAGTTGTCTGGTTCAGCAAAGTAATTTAAATCATATGAACCTTACTTCAAAGAAATTTGCACCCAGAACTCCAAAAAATATGCAGTAAATCCTTAGTAACAACTTAGGAAAGGAGTATTCTGTATATAATGTAGAAAATGCCTTCTGGGAATTTCCGTAAGTTTTTTTTTTTTTTTTTTCTTTCTAATCTTTCCAAAAAACTTATTAAAATGTAATTCTGAAGAAATTTAAATATATATGAAGCATGTGTTCCTGACTACATACACCATATCGATCTTGGCTTGTTCAAATACCAATTTAATTTTATACAAGAAATTTTGAAAAAAGTCGGTGGGGTGAAATTGCAAAGAAATTTTGATGATCATCTTCGTCACATTCCTCATTTTCTTGAGTTAAAATTATTTAGTAAACTAGGACAATTAAAAATAATGACTGCTGCAGACTATCGGAATCTAATGAAGGTTGTGCTTTTTGCCCTTGATGATATTTTCAATTGGTGGAATTAAATAACTTGCAATAATCTTTGCGAGTTATATACTAAATTTAGTAATATGTACATAATGAGCTGACAAGAGTTGTATTCTGAAACCGATTTGAACAATTTTGAGGTATCTGTAATATGCATTTCTTAATTTAAACTAAAAATTTTTTCACATACAGTAAATATATATATATATTTGACTATAGGCCTTAATTATTGACTGGTGTAATGAATTTAAAAGAATTTTTTTACCTTTATCTAGCACAGAGTGTAGATTTCCCAAACTCCATAGTTGGCATTATCATGTAATCCCAACAATTCGCAAATATGAAGCTTTAAATAGCTTATCAACGAAAACTTATAAAATGCTTTATAAAGCATATGTGAAAAACCCATTCAGAGCTTCAAATAGAAAAAATATTATAAATCAATTAATAAATGCAGTAAGGAACTCTACAAATCCTAAATGTCTTAATTTTTAATAACTGTATAGTATGTAACTATATAATAGCTATATATTTACTAGTTACTATACAGTTACTAAAATTAAGATGTGTAGGTTTTTGTAATGTAAAAATCATTTTGAAATATTAATTTTTTCATAATAAATGTTATGATTATACTTAAAGGTGAAGAGTAATGAATTAGTTCCAACCGTAAGCAAAGTTATCTGTCATAAGACTGAAGGATTTGGAAAAATACTATACGAATTGAAGCTAAATGCTATTGAAACTAGAGTGAACTTCCTAAAAAGCTCAAATCAGACGCACCCGAATTTCATTGAAGAATTATCTCAACTAATCCCAGCATTAAATGCTTTTCTGGATATGTCTTTACAAGATTCAGTAAGTGAAAACTTTTTTATAAAAATTTATGATTCAGTTTATTTGGAAAGTGGAGAAATCCTAAGGGCATCTGATAGCTTTCAAAACAAGGAGTGGTTTAGCAATGTTGCTGTATCAGCAGCAGAAGACCAAGTTCAGTATGAGTTAGACAATGGTATTTGGTATGGGAAGGTATTAATTTTTCTAAAAATCTTTTGGGGTCAGCAAAGGATCCATTTAACCTTGCAATGGTTCATTGGTATGACATTGAACCAAGTGAGCCAGAGCTGTATGGTTGCCCACAGCTATTTTATACAAATGATTATAATATAATTCCAATAGGTTCCATTTACAAAGAGGCACATATTGTACCAAAATTTGATAAAGAAAATCAATTTTTACTTAATAAATATATGTTTTAAATCTCGCTCTAATATTTTTAAACGTCTTTGGAAGTTTGAGTAATGTAATTTTTTAATAGCTGAATTATATGACATTGCATAATGTATACTGTGCTACTATAAAAACTTGTACTACATAGAAAAATTTACTAAAATTGGATTAAATTTAAAACTTTCCTTTATTTAGAAGACAAATACTATTTCTATATATTGCTAAGGGCATAATAAATTTGCTTATTGTACGTATCTAAATTTTACGCTACTTCGAAGTTTGTATTTCTCAAACATTTTCCAAGACAAACCATTATTAAAAAAAAAAATATATATACCAAATTTAAATAATAATTATCTAAAAAATGTAAAAAAAAAAAAATTACTATTTATTTAAACTATTATAATAAAATCTATAAGCACACAATCTTGGGACAAAACTTTAACAACATGCATTTAAAGAACAATAAAAAAAAGTGTATTTTGGGTGTGGCGACTTAGTAAAGTGGTAGAGTTGTCGCACCCCCAAACGGCAGGTCTAGAGTTCGAATCCTATGGACGACGATTTTGAAAAAACTAGATCTGTATCAGTTAACGTTAAGATTATCAGTTGGATCCAGATATTTGTAATCTTGGTTACATCATCTCGAATAGGAGCTTCAGCATAATAAATCCAGGAAACCGAAATTACCGAAAACCCATTTGGCAAGTCCCGAGTTGGGAGTAGCAGCGATCTTTGACGGTGCTACAGGAAGACTAAATTTGGAAC